TATATATATATATATAAGCTCTGGTAGCATAGTGCCTAAGGCACTTGACTGCTAAGCAGAAGGCTGGCGGTTCAAACCCATCAACCACTCCTCAGAAGGAAGGTTGGGCAATCTACTTCCATAGTGATACCGCCTCGAAAACCCAAGGAGGGATCACTATGAATCAAGTCTGACTCGGCAAATCAACAACAACAACAACATAGGAATTTCAAGGCCATGCCATTTTGGAAGCAAATCACCAGACCTTTCTTCCAAAGTGCTTCTGGGGGGATTTGAACTACCAACTATTCAGTTAGTAGTTGAATGCTTAATAATTTGCACTAGGAACTCCATATCCCTTATACTTTCTCTTAATGACCATGTTATAATCCAATCAGGTTGGTTGTTTAAATTAGAATGTTAATGGGGCTATGGTCCAAGTTTTCATTCCTGTGGAGGAAAAAGTTTTACAAAGAAAGAAATTATTTGCAAGGTCATGTCAATACTTGTTAGCAGGACTCATGGTACCACAAGGGTTAAGAGCTCAGCTACTAACTGAAAGGTTGGCAGTTTCATCCCACTGAAGGAAAGATCTGGCAATCTGCTCCCTTAAAGATTATAGCCTAAGAAATCCTGTGGGTCATTTCTACTCTGTCCTATGGGGTTCTATGAGTCAGAATTCTATCAACAGCACCCAACAACAACAATAAATTCTTGCCAGCCTTACAAAATTGTGCCTTAATTAGGAAAGGATCACCAGGATATACTTATTGTGCAATTAATAAAGAGGGAGACCTTTTCTGAACTTTTGACTAGATGAGGGTATTGGATAAATTAGAATATAAATTTATACCACTACATAATTTGAATGTTAAAATTTGAAAGTTATTTTATTCTCTTCTTTTAGGTTTCTGGAAGAGAATCTGCCTGTATAATAACTAAAGTTTATATATATATATATATATATATATATATATATACACATTTGTATATATACATTTTCAGCCTTTATGTGGTTTCAAACAATAATGACATTGACACTTTTATTTTAAATTAAATAAATGGTGTGTGTGTGTGTGTGTGTGTGTATGTGTATATCTATGTGTACAGATAATATGTAACTCAATATATTGTTGTTATGTGCCGTCCAGTCGGACCCGACTCATAGCAACCCCTCCTAGGGTTTCCGAGGCAGTATCACTACAGAAGTAGGATTGCCCAACCTTCCTCCTGAGGAGTGGCTGGTGGGTTTGAACTGCCAGCCTTCTGGTTAGCAGTCAAGTGCCTTAGGCACTATGCTACCAGAACTCCTAACTCCATATATAGACATTTCTGTTCAGTGAATCATCAGATGAGAGGACTGCTAAATCTATTATCTGATGTGTGAAATTTTGTTAAAATCAACTCAATATATAGACATTGATTTTAACAAAATTTCACACATTAGATAATAGATTTAGCATTCCTCATCTGACAATTCACTGAACAGAATTTTTGATCCCATTTTTGTTGTTGTTTATTCTGATTACTGTTCATTTCCCCTTCTGCCTCTGTTTTATTTCAGTTGAAATGTTGAGAAACAGCATCTGAATGGTAAAAGTGCTATACGAAGAGACCAATTGAAGGGAAATGAGAATAAAGAAACGCTTTCAACTTCTCTCCATTTCTACCGCCTTTCAGCTGTTGTGTTGCTGAATGCTACTCAACTCAGACTCTAATCATTGGGCCAAAAACAATGAATCTTTCTATGGGCTTTGGCTGCCTTGGCATCTGGGAGACCCCTTGATGTCAGAATCAGAAGTGGTCACAACTGCCACTGTGGTCAGAAAGGGTGTTGGAATTGTGCACATAAGAGATAGACGACAGATGCTAATATCAATCAATGTGTCCATAATACTACTTTGCCATTAACACCAAACACCAGGCTACAGATAAACACGTAAATACCTGAGATGATCAGATGGGGGTCAGTGAACAGAAGTATACTCTAGACCAAGGATAGATTCAGCTGAGGCTAATCTTGCACAGATACCAGTGATACAAAATACCTGCAGTCCTTATAGAAACAATAGAAGACAGACACAGAGTAATCCCTCACAGACAACCAGACACTATGGGAGAGAGATCCAGTAGATCTACCATCTCAGGACTACAGTACTGGGGGACACCAGACTCAATTGGCACAACAAAATACATGAAATCATTGCTCCACATCCTACATTGGTGAGTCATGACTGAGGACTTAAAAGCTTTCAAGCAGCCAGCTAAGATGCAGCTAATGGTCTCCTAGCATCTGAAGTGAAGAAGAATGCAATAAATAAATAAATAAATAAATAAATGGACAAGGGCATTTAGAAGCAATCGGCCCTAGGACATGATGGCCCTCAAGATCAGAAGAACTAGATGGTGCCCGGCTACCAATGCCAACCACTCAGGAAAGGAGCAAATCTGGAGATCTTGGGTAGAGTGGGAGGGAAAATATGGAACAAAATACAAAAACTCAACAATGACCAGAATTACTGGTCAGATGAAATCTGGTGAGACTCCCAATACTATGGCCCTGGAATACATTCTGCACCTGGAGTAAAACTCACCCCCAGGGGCGGGCTTTCAGACCAATAGTTAACAAGATGTACACGCAGACCACTCAGCCCAGGATGACACACCCACATACTCTATGGTAATACATCCCTTAGAGCAATAGACCATGAGACACCAGAGGACCAACATTCAAATTGAGGAAATGCA